CGTTCTGGGCCGTTCTGAGGTCTTGCTATATAAGGGCGGCCGTCGACGCGGATAACAAGCCCCATCTTTGCACTTGCTCTTGCGGCCCTTCAGCTTGATAGTCGGTGGGATCAATTCACTGCCGAAGGTCGGCTGGGCATATTGCCGACTGCTGATTGAAGATGGTGCCGTGTTTATGTTCAGGAGCTTACCAATTTTGTGCTCCTGTAGAGCGTATAACGTACTCGACATGTGAAATATTTCCCATCGACTAGGACCCGCGCGTGAGCTGAGGGCGAGCAAAGCGAGCCCGAGGTGAACGCGGGACAGAACAGAGATAAATTATCGGTAGCTACGAATATCTTCACCAACGATGATAGTCTCGTTGAGGAAGAAAAAGCGCTAGAATGAGTGCGCCTGGTGTCGCAGACATAGGTGGAAGTACAGGAAATTGGTCGGACGGTGTTACATCGGGTGCATGCACCAGTACATAACGATATCTGAGAATAAGTCATACGTCGTAACATGTACGTCGTTCAAAATTTGAAGGGAGTTGAGCCCCGGGAATGCCCCGGAGGGGCTGTGGCAGTACACTTACGCTAGTTTATAACCCGCTGTCGCAAGAGTCGTGGTAAACAAGCGCGATATGTGACGACGGCGTGACGCGACGCGTTGATTGAGGCGAAGGTGAAGGAGAGCATGGTCTTTTCCATACCACCACCCCGTCCATCTAGGCTTTCCATTCAACTTCATACCTGCCCTTTCTGCCGTCACTGCGCCGAAGGATCCTCAGTATAGGTCCACAACCGACCTCTACCTTGACATGGAGTACGATATCGTCAGCCCGATGTGCTGGGAGCAGCTGAAGAGCATGATGCCCGCGCTTCGAACTTTGCACATCACGCAGCGCATCAGGAAACCGCCCTCGCGCGAAACCCAACTTTTCGGCCATAAGTCACTTAAATCGCCCCTCAATTATGACCGATTAGTAGAGCAGCGACAAGAGCCAATTAGGAGCTATAACTACATTTTGATTTTCCGAATTCGTCCTAATCGACCTTGCAGCCGGTCAGAATTGACCTATAATGCTATTTTAAAATATGCTTGTTGGTTCAGAAGAGTCCTTTCGGACCGATAAGATTCAATAAATGAGAAAAACATTATATTGAAGTAGCAGCTATAGTATAATATACAGGGGAATACATAGAACTGTCCGAACTACGAGCAAACCGAGCAATATCAGAGCCAATCTCGCCTGCATGAGCCCACATGCATCTCAGCGACAAAAATAGCCCTAGCGCAATCCTAGTGCAATGAGATCAGCATCATTCCCTGCGAGGATGATAAATTCGCACCTGACCTCCATTCGTCGTTGCAATACCAGCGAAGATGTGGTGGACGGAGCACATACCTGGCAAGATATACACCTGCACAGCATGGGCGATACCTCGCAGCAGCATTGATAGGAGTGGTCATCTACAACAGAGTCAGTAAGAGCTCAAGCGAGTCAGGGAGGCTCACGTACACATGAGGGAAGCCGGACAAGCCACGCGCCCATAGATATGAGCTCGTAGCTATGTAGAGAGCCTGTGTTGGTCATGAGTTATACAGTTCTCATGAAGAGGTGTCGAGGCGCGAATACTTACGTGTCACACCAACGAACACGATATGGTCTCGAAAGCACAAGGCTGGTGGCACCTGCAGCGGAGGCAGTGACTCAGACGACAGCAGCACCTGGAGTTGTTGACCGAGTGCACGGATGAGTGGGCGGGGGGCGGGGGCGGGGGCTGGGGGTAGTGGTGGTCGAAGAGGAAGACACGCGAAGACGACAAGTCGAACACGGCACGGGATCCAAGTTTGATGGCACGTGGCCGGGTTGAACAAACCGCGCCGAAGCTTCCGAAGTCGCCTCCCAGTCGCAGTCGACAGTAACCCAAGTACTCAACACGTATACGGGTGCCGAGCTTGAGTGCCGGCGCTGGCCACTCATCTTGCTCGCACTATAGTAGTCCATCCACACCTCATCACTTAAGCCTAAAGTACGTAGTTGCTTGCGTATTTCTTATGAGACACAATTGATACTACCGTACATGAGCGACTTTCGCCGCCGACTCGGATGAGGGAGCAAAAGGAGTGGCTAAGCAAGGATCAACCGAAATTATGACGGCTTATAGGCGCCTGAGTCTCGATTGAGAGCCTCATGCGCCACTGATTAGGACCCACGGCGATTAGAAGCCATGAGGCGGGCTAACGCGGGCTTCTCGCGTGAGCGGCCCGTTATCTCGCTTAAGCGCGGGTTTAGGAGCACGGCGGTTTCCTGATGCGATCGCTAGAGGAGGCATTGATGACGATAAGATCTTGATCGATGATCATCAATCCGTGCCTGCCATTCTATTGCCTGATCCCAGCGCTGAGCTCAAATAATGATACATATATGGCTATATGCTGTGTAGTTCAAGAACGACTGTACTCCTTACTCCGAGCTGTAACGTCTACGTCTACTCTTCATCCTCGTCTTCCTCCCACAAAACAGTCTCAATCCCCTCTTCGTGTCTTTCCCGGGCGTCATGCCAGTCGCGGTAGCCCGCCCATACTGCAAGAACTGCACATCGCGGCATATCAGTACCCAGCTAACCCGAGAGTGCGCAGTGACCTACGCAGAGCGAAGACGCAGGCCCCAAGCGTCAGATAGACACTGTCGATATAACACGTCCGCCCGTCGTAACATTGAGGACCATCGTCCGACGGCAGACCGCCTCGCGTGCCGAGCTTCTGCCCCTCTCCCAGAACAGACGACGCGGCACTCAATGCGGCGGATGCTGATGCTGAGGCTGAGCTCGGGTCGGAGGATGCTTGAGGCGTCGAATGCGCGTCGAGGTTCTTCCCGAACGCGAGCGAGAAGAGGTTGCCGCCTACGACGGGGAAGAGCGATATGAAGCCCCAGTTCTCGCTAAAGTGCGCTGTATCCAACATACGTCAGCTCACCCACCCTAATGCGAAGTAGATCGAGCGAATCACGCACCGAGTCCAAACCACTCGATAGTAAGCGTCGGCAACAGCCCAAACAGCGACCCATACGCGAACCCCAAGCACGCGCTCGCGATCCACAGCTTGCTCACGTCGCCCGTATTGATCAGCACGAACTGGCTTATAATGAACAGCGCCGCGACGCCCGTCATGCAGAACGAGCGCGGGCGCCCGAAGCGCTGCTTCATGATGTCCGCCGCGATCCCGATCGCAACGCGGCCGGCGAAGTTCATCACGCTGATGGTGCTCACTTGCGCCGCCTGCCATGCGGCGGCTTGTGTGGGGTCGTACGCGGGGTTGTTCTGGGAGAAGAGGGCCTGGGCTATCGAGCCGACGTTGTTGATGTCTGCGTACCAACCTCAGCCACAATCCCGACACAGGGGGGCGAAGCAGAGAGCGAACGCACACATGATGCCCGTACCACTGAACATGACGTTCAAAAAGCACGCGATCCAAAAGTCGACGCTCTTGAATATATGCGGGCTATGCAGATCCACCCCGCGCCCCTCCTGCGCCTTCTCAAACACGACCTCCCGCACCCTCGGCCCCCTGCTGACACTCCGATGTATCAAGTTCTCCGTGCTGGGCGTGAGCTGCACCGAGTCGGACAGCATACGCGCGTGCGACGAGCTCCGTGAGCCCGGGACCAGAGTTGGCCTGAGATCGCTGTAGTGCCCATCGGTCGGCTCGTCGTAGTCGTCGACCAGGCTCGTAGACGTCGGCGGCGGGCTCAAAAGGCGCGTCATAGAGTTCGCGCGCACAGCCGCCGGAGCGCCGTCGAAGCTGACACGTCGGTACGCCGCGCCGCCCGTAGGCCGCTCAGACGACGGCACGATGTGCGACTGCTGATGCGGCGGCAGCGGGATCGGGCGCACAACGAAGAATCCGAGCACCATCGGCAGCGCGGTGCCCAGCCCCAGCACGAGCAGGAAGTCGCTGGTGTTGCCCGGGAACAGCACGTGCGAGAGCGTGCTGAAGAGGAACGCGGACAGCCCGAAGCCGGACATGACGATGCCGACGACGACGGCGCGCGAGCTGTCGGGGAACGACTTGGCCGTGCTGTTCATCGCCGTGCTCATCGCCGAGTTGCCGCCCATGCCCGTGAGGTAGCTGCAGAAGATCAGCGCGAAGAGGCGCGCGCGGCTCAGCGTCTTCTCGTCGCCCAACAGCCCGCGGTCGAACGTCGCGCGGATGCCGAGGTAGCCGCAGAGGAGACCGAAGAACGCGACGATGAGCAGCGGGCGCGGACCGCGCGTGTCCATGATGCGGCCCGTGAAGGGCCCGGAGATGTACACTCCAACTATAGGGATGTAAGCGCCGATAACTTGAATCGCATAGACGCGCGAAGGACGCACAGTTGCCCGCGATGGTGACAATGTTGAGCTCGGTATGCGTGAGGTGCAATCGGGAGCCCAGTTGCGGCGCGTACGCTGCCAGAAGCCGTCAGCACTTCCATTCCGTTCCAACTCAAACACCAAACCCCCTATCTCTGCCCCGCACCAGCCGCTCTACGCCCGATGCAGCCATGATGAACAATGAACAGTCGTACTCACCAGAGACGACCTGATAACGCATTCAAACTGCTTATTCCAGCAGCGCTCCTGCGCATAAAGTCTGGGCACGCACATAATTCGTTCCCGAGCACAGGGCGACGAGCGCGCTCGCGGCAAGCACAGTCAGCCTCTGCGCGCCGTAGTTGCTCGGTAGCGAAGCCATCGGCGGCTCCGGGGGGTACGAGGTGGTCGTCGAGGTTCAGTTCAGAGTGTCAACTCAGCCCCGCAGGTTGAAAAGTTGGAGATAGAGAAAGCGTGGCGGCAGGGGCGGTATCGCGGAGAGATAAGAGACGCCGGCGTGAAGCGCGACTATTGGCTTGTCCGGTCGGCGGGCTATCGGACGTCTGAGTCGGGTACGGAATAGATTATGGAGGGTGGTGGTGGTAGAGGTGAGAGGTATGTATGTGCTATGGACGTCGCGGGCTGTACGGTGTTCAAACATGACGCAGCTGCGGAAGCGGTCGAGCGCGTCCGCGCGAGTGACTGGAACAGAACTCCGCGTAAATTTGGATGAGATGTCGCATTGTTGGTGGCGCGCTGGTTGTCATCTGATTGACATTTCCGCCGGAACATGAGGCGGGATATGGGGTAGCGAGGGCCGTTAGACGTACACGATACTACATCTATGAGAAATATAATCCAGACTGTTGTACAGTCTACAAATACATGTTCCACGAGCATGTCACGGTTCAGCGCTCAGCCAAGCGTCGCATCAACGAACGCACACCTCTCCCAATCCAACACCTCCCCTCCCTCCGTAACACCCTGCACGAAGAACCTCACCGCGTCCTTCGCCCCCTTCTTCACCCCAATCGCTTTCAGCCCCTCCCAGCTCATCCGCATCTTACTCGCCCAGCCCTCCAGTCCACTAGTTCCGACGAACGTCGCAGCAGTCGGCCCTTCGGGCGCTCGTGCTCTGGGCATAGCGTACACGTTCACGTATGCCAATCTGTCGGACAGCGGGACTTGCGCGACGGGCCACAGTGGCTCGGGGGCGTCCGGCGGAGGAATCGTAGAAGGGAGCACAGTCTGCGGAAGATACAGCGCAGCGCCCCACGATAGCACGCCGGCAAAGGCAAAGTCGGCGCTATCCGACGATGCAAAGTCCGCCCAGAGAATACGCGTCGTAGCGGACGCGGCGCGAGGCGGCGATGCAGCGATGACAGACAGCTGTCCTAGGATGACGGAGAACGAGAGCGCCTGTGCGGCATCTTCTGCCGCGAAGCCTACGACGAGCCCGACGTGTGCCGTCGGATCCGCGCCTGCGTCTGAGGACAGCGAGAACGACAGGGCCTGCCGCTGCCATTCGCCCGGGAGATTATCCTGCACCGTCACCGGCTGCGACTCCAGATGTTCGACGGCGAAGCCGTCAGGCTTGACGAGCAGCCCGACATCGAGGTCGACCGCCGAAGCCGAAGCGCCCGTATCGGTCTTGAACACCAGCGCCGCCTCGTACGTCCCGCCCGCAGCAACATCGACACCTTGAACGGGCAACCACACGCAGCGGAAGAACGCGTCCTCGGCGTTGCTCCCCGGCACATCGACCGTCACCCTCACCGAGCTCCCCCCGATCCACGCATCCGCGAAGTCGATCGCAGGCGCTGCAGCCGGCAGCACCTCGGAATCCGTCTCGCGGTCCTCCCAGGCCAGCGTCGCCGGTGCGGGCCATAAGAGGTCGCCGAGCGCGCACTGCTTGTGTGTGTCCGTCCACTGCGCGCTCGACACGCGCGCGCCGCGGACCCACCACCCCCGCCCCACGCCCGGCGAAAAGCCCGTGCAGAACGGCCGCCCATCGACCGGCGGCGGCGCCTTGCGCACAAAGAACTCCGTAACCGCTCTGAACGGCCCATGCGGGCACTCCGCGTCGCCCTCCCGCTTCTTCGTGCTGGACCCCGGCGGCAGCACTGTCCTCCTCTTCTGCGCATCGGTCGTAGGGCCCAACCACAGCGCGCGCTCGTACTCCCACCACCGCTCCCAGCTGAACCCTTCCTCGTCCCGCGTGGACTCCCATGTCCAGCCCTGCCCGAAGAGCGCGGTGCTGAGGCCCGCGGGCATTATGTGCTCGAGCGCGCGGTAGGCGCCGAAGCCGCCGCCGCCGTGCGAGCCGCGGCCGTAGACGTCGATGCCGGCGTAGATGTCGAGGCGCGTTTTGGGCGGGGCGTGCGGGGATGTGAGGGTCGTTGGGGAGAGGGTGGAGAAGTAGGTCGATTGGAGCGCGGGGTAGTCTTGGTGCCACTGTAACAGCGATCAGCTACGCGTTTGGTGAAGAGGACTGGTGGGCCGTACGGTGTAGTTCGTGAAGAAGCCCGTGCTCGGCGCGAAGAACGGCAGATTGTACGCGTTCAGCCGGTCCTGCCAGCGCACCTGCCCGCTAAACACCACGCTATCGTACCACACCACCTCCGCGTGCGCCCCCACCCTCTCCTTCATCTCCTTCGTCAGCATCCCGACCCACGCCGCGAGACTCCGCGCGTGCCCCACGCCCCCGTCCGCGCGCAACGCCCACTCGAAGTTCAGGAGCCACCCGTCGAAGCCGCGCTTCGCTGCGAGGTCGGCGAGGAGAGCGGCGTAGTGCGCGCTCACGGGCATTGCGTTCGGGTTGTGCGTGGGGGAGGGCGCGGCCGGGCCGGTTGCTGATGCGGGGAGGCGCCCGAAGAGGAGGCGCAGGCCGTCGGGTTCGCTCTCGATGTGCTCGAATATGAGCGTTCCGAGCATCTTGGTGCCGTGTCTGTGCGCGGCGGTGATCCATCCTGGAGGTGGGATTGTGACGCGGTGATGGGAGAAACTATGCCAGAGATCAGGCAAGGACGAGCGTCCTAGGATGGTGTGGCGTACTAGATAAAGCTGTCACAGTACGGCCAGAAGTTGAAGCTATACCCAACATCGCTGGGATCTTCAGCGTAGCCTCCCTATCCACGAGACACTTTCAGCTGCTAGTGTGTATTGTTCCAACCTGCGGGCGCTCACCTTGAAGTCATGGCAAACCTAGGACGACGCCTTAGACTCGACTCTGACCGGCGCCCAGCTAAGCATGACACACCAAAAGCCTCCCTTTGGTGTCTGAGTGGCGTCTCGGGACGTATGGCAGTACGCCATCATGGGCGCGGGACCCTGCATCGGCCCAAGCGTCCAGTTCGGCCAATGCACGAAAGAAAGGCTTCTCGAGCGGGGAGGGACCTTGCGAGGGCATGGCAGCAGGAATGGAAAGGGTCCACTTGACGTAACCTATGCCAATGTATAAAGTTATATCAGGGTATGGGTGCTATTGAACGATCTTGAAGCAAGTGAAGGTCAAGATCAAGCGACTTCAACTTTCCTAGGAAACCCTTTTGTATTCGTGCGAAACAAGCGCCCAATCCAGCCGCCGGCGCAGCGGCGCGCCGCGTTGGTGCGCAAATCGCTGGCTCCGGTGACTTGACTCTCACCACCAGGACCCCACCATAGCGCCCCCTCGCCTCCGCCGCACAGACCTTTCGTCCTCAGCTCCCGGAATGTCTGGCAACGACCTCGACGCTGATCTCTACGGCGGTGCGTGTCCCCCATCCCTTCCTTTATCGTGTTTTATAATGATGACGATGCAGACCTCTACGGCGACGGCGACGGCTCCAACTCGGCTTCGGCCGCTGCCGCTGCACCTCAAGCCGCGCCTCAAGCACAAGCTGCACCTGCGGCCGCACCAGTACCGGCGGCAGCAGCGGCAGCCCCCGCCGCGCAATCGGCCGTCAAGCCCGAACAGAACCTGGCATCCATTCCTTCGTATCAGGACGGCGGCGACATAGCTCCCGCCCAGCACATCCAGTCATACACCGACGACTCGGGGCTGGATGCGAACCAATACTCTACGCAGCAGCAAAACCCGAATGGCGAGCGGAGTGTCCGCCCGAGCGAGATGAAGGACGAAGGGTAAGTGTCGACGTGAACTCCTCGCTGACCATTCCATCTTCCCCCAGCGTGCGTGCGTGGCGTGCGAGTATTTTCCTAGTTGCGGGACCGTATCGGTACAAGGGGACACTCGAAAAGACGCATGTTCGCGCATAGCTAGGCTAGGCTAGGCTACCTTGTACCGCTCGTGGCTACCGCTCTAGGAGTAGGCTTAGGCTAGCTCTAGCACCTCTAGCACCTCGCATAGCCAGTGCCGTATCTTCTCTTCTTCATCTACGACTCGCTGTCATCCGTAAGACCTTGATACTAATGCAGACCACCGTTCCTTCTATATTCGCACTCGCCTGAACCCTGCTCTCGCAAACGCGTCTCCGCACTCTCTCTCTCTCATCAAACGTGCCAATGTGCGCTATGAACCCACAGGAAGATGTTCATTGGCGGCCTCAACTGGGAGACGTCGGATGGTACATACTACTACGTTACCCGCGCATCGTAGGACAACCCGTCGAGTGCTGATCCGCCCGCTGCACAGAATCGCTCCGCAACTACTTTACCCAGTTTGGCAAGGTTGATGCGTGTACTATCATGAGGGACCAGGACGGGCGCTCCCGGTGCTTCGCTTTCCTGACGTTCGAAGACCCAGCGAGCGTGAACGCAGTCATGGTCCGCGAGCACTTCCTCGACGGCAAAATCGTGCGCCCCTCCCCCATCCATTCCCACATACCTCCCTCACTAATCACTCCCTCGTGATCTATTTTGGTAGATCGACCCGAAACGCGCGGTCCCCCGCTCGGAGCACCAGCGCGCGACGAAGCTCTTCATCGGCGGGCTCGCGGGCAGCGTGACGAGCGAGTCCATGCGCGAGTTCTTCTCCCAGTTCGGCAAGGTCGTCGACAGCACCGTCATGCTCGACCGCGAGACGGGCCGCTCGAAGGGCTTCGGGTTCATCAGCTTCGAGGACACGGACGTCACGCCGTTCCTCGGCTTCGGGCAGCTCGAGATCGACGGCAAGCTCGTGCGTGCTCTTTCTTTTTCCGCCCTTCCTCCCTCCCCCCGTCCTTCTGTCAACAATGTGGCGCGTATGCTGACCGCCGGGCGACGTCCAGATTGATGTGAAGTTGGCACAGCCCCGCGCCCAGCGCGACGCCGACGGCGGCGCATCCGTCTACGGCCCGCACGGCGCCACGCGCGGCCGCGGCGGCGGCTTCGTCGGCGGCGGC